CAATTCTATGAAGGCTCTGAGGTGAGGAAGCTGCAGAAGGAAAGTCTGAAGCCAGCGGAGGTTGGTTCATGAGGTTTAAGGAAAGAAGCCGTCTCCCTAACGTCAAAGTACAAGGTGAGGGGTGCCTGGGTGGTTCAGATGGATAAGCGTCTGCCTTTGGCTCAGGTCATGATCCCGGGGTCCTGGGATCGAGGCCTGCATCGGGCTCCCTGCTTAGCGGGGAGTCTGCTTCTCCCTCTCCCTCTGCCCCTCCCCCTGCTCATTCTCTCTCTCTCTCTTTTGCTTGCTCTCCCTCTCAAATAAGTAAATAAAATCTTTAAAAGAAAAAAAAACTACAAGGTGAAGCAGCAGGTGCTGTTGGAGAAGCTACAGCAAGGGATCTAGAAGATAATTCATGAAGGTGGTTACCCCACACAACAGACTTTCAGTGTGGATGAAACCACCTTTATACTGGAGGAAGATGCCATCCAGGACTTTCATAGCTAGAGAGAAGTCAATACCTGGCTTCAGAGCTTCAAAAGACAGGCTGACTCTCTTGTTAGGAGCTAATGCAGCTGGTGACTGTTAAGTTGAAGCCAGTGCTCATTTACCATTCTGAAAATCCTAGGGCCCTGAAGAATTATGCTAAATCTGAGCTGTGCTCTAGAAATGGAAAAACAAAGTCCAGATGGCAGTACATGTGTTTACAATGTAGTTTACTAAATATTTTAAGGCTCCTGTTAAGACCTACTGCTCAGGAAAAGAAGATTCCTTTCAAAATATGACTGCTCATTGACAATGCACATGGTCACCCAAGAGCAGTGATGGAAATGTACGAGATAAATGTTTCCATGCCTGTTAACACAGCATCCATTCTGCAGCCCATGGATCAAGGAGTCATTTTGACTTTCAGGCTTATTCCTTAAGAAATACATTTCATGGGGCGCCTGGGTGGCTCAGTCGGCTAAGCGTCTGCCTTCAGCTCGGGTCATGATCCCAGGGTCCTGGGATCGAGCCCCACGTCAGGCTCCCTGCTCAGCGGGAAGCCTGCTTCTCCTTCTCCCACTCCCCCTGCTTGTGTTCCCTCTCTTGCTGTCTCTCTCTGTGTCAAATAAATAAATAAAATCTTTTAAAAAATAAAAATACATTTCATGAAACTATAGCTGCATAGATGATGATTCCTCTGATGGATCTGGGCAAAGTCAGTTGAAAACCTTCTGGAAACGATTCACCATTCTAGACGCCATTAAGAACAATAGTGATTTATGGGAAGAGGTTAAAATGTCAACATGAACAGGAGTTTGGAAGAAGTGGATTCCAGCCCTGATGGAGGACTTTGAGGGATTCAAGACTTCAGTGGAGAAAGTCACCGCAGGTGGGTGAAAACAGCACGAGAACTAGAATGAGAAGTGGAGCCTGAAGATGGAACTGAATTGCTGCAATCTCATGATAAAACTGGAATGGATGAGGAGTTGCTTCTTACGGATGAGCAAGGAAGAGTAGTTTCTTGAGCTGGAATCTACTCCTGGTGAAGGTGCTGTGAAGTTGTTAAAATGACAACAAAGCATTTCGGGTATCACATAAACTTAGTTGATAAAGTAGCAGCAGGATTTGAGAAGACGGACTCCAATTTTGAAAGAAGCTCTACTGTGGGTAAAATGTTCTCAACCAGCATCACATGCTCCAGAGAAATCGTTCATAAAAGGAAGAGCCAATCAGTGGGGCAAACTTCATTGTTATCTTTCTTAAGAAATTGCCACAGCTACCCCAGCCTTTATCGACCACCACCTTGATCAGTCATCAACATGGTGGCAAGACCCTCCACCAGCAAAAAGATTACTACTCACTGAAAGCTCAGATGATGGTTAGCATTTTTTAGCAATAAAGTACCCTTTTTTTTTTTTTTAAAGATTTTATTTGACAGAGAGGGAGCAAGCACAAGCAGGGGCAGTGGCAGGCAGGGGAGAAGCAAGGCTCCCTACTGAGCAAGGAGCCCGCTGTGGGATCACGACCAATCCAAAGGCAGATGCTTAACCGACTGAGCCACCCAGGGGCCCCTAAAAAGTACTTTTTAATTCAGGTATGGATGTTTAAAGATATAATGCTACTGCATTAATAGACTATAGTATAGTATAAACATAACTTTAATATACACTGGGAAACCAAAAAATTCATTTTGACCCACTTTATTGTGGTCTGGATCTGAACCTGTGGTATCTCTGAGGTTTGCCTTTACTTTTGTTCTTATTAATTTATAAGACTTATTCACACATTGGTATTGTTCCTTTGTCTTACATGATGCAAATTTTTTCAGTTCATTGTTGGGTTTTTTTTTTGGTTTCTGTTTTTATTTTTTTAAGTAGACTCCACACCCAGCGTGGAGCCCAATGTGGGGTTTGAACTTAAAACAGCCTTGAGATAAAGACCTGAGCTGAGATCAAGAGTCGGACACTTAACTGAGCCACCCAGGAGCCCCATATCATGGTTTTTGTTATGTTTTTAATGAAGACTTTTCAAATTTTACATATAAATGTTTAAGTCAGGTCCATCTCATCATTCCTTTTACCTACCTTTGCTATGCACTGAGAAAAAAACTTCGTCACCTAAATAAAATGTAAGCAGTTACTGATGTTCTTCTAGTACTTGTGCTATTTGATTTTTACTTAAACCTTTATATAGCATTTATTTACATATATGATAGGTGAGGGAAGGCTCGAGCTTTAACTTCCTCTCTATACTTTTTGTTTTTGGAAACACTCCTGTGTTGAATTCTTACATACACTTTAGGTCTATTCAAAATTCCCTCTTCTCTTCTACCATCTACAGGTCCACGGTATTTTTTTTTTTTTAAGATTTTAATTAGAGTGAAAAAGAGAAAGAGAGTGGGGAGGATCAGAGGGAGAAGCAGACTCCCTGCTGAGCAGAGAGCCCAATGTGGGACCCGATCCTGGGACTCTGGGATCATGACCTGAGCCAGAGGCAGACACTTAACTGAATGAGCCACCCAGGCACCCAGGTCCACAGTATTTTAAGTATTATCTATTGTACATTTTTCTATCTGGTAAGACTAATTCCTGATAATAACTTCTTTTTTAAGTTTTCCATGGTTATTCTCACATGAATATTTCTCAGATGAACTTAGAATCTTTTTGTCAAGTTCTGCAAAATAGCATTGGGAATTTTGTGAGCTCATAAAACTTACGGATTGATGAGATAGAATTAATATGTTTATGAGGTTGCTGTTCTCTGCATTTCTTCATATATATATGTATATATATTTTCAGGTTTCTCAGTAAAGTTTTCTTCATACACATTTTCTTCTTTACACGTATCTTGTTGAGTTCATTTCCAGACTTTTTATTGTTGTTGCTATTATTGAGTGTCCTTCCCCCTCTTTTATATTTTCCACCTGTTGCAGTTGGCATAGAGAAAAGCAGTTGAGCAATTTATTTTGTTTTTTGGGGTTTTTTGTTTATTATTTACTTTTAATTAATCTCTACCTCCACTGTGGGGCTCAAACTCGTGACCCCGAGATCAGGAGTTACACTCCTCAAACCGAGCCAGTCAGGCACCCTGAGCAATTTATTTTGATAATTGTCTTCTTTTGGATGGTATTTGAGCTCATTTTCTTGGGTTTTCCAAGTTACTCGCGTCGTACCATATACACATTATGATTTTGCCTTCTTTCCAGTGGTTGTACTCCTTATATTCTTGGAATCGGCAGACATTTCCGGAGCATTGTTAGTAATTGTGAGAATGACTTGATTCTGGTGTTGAGGTGTCAGCTTGGAGCGCAGCGCTGGCCACGGTGCTGATGTCAGGGTGTCAGGTGGCTTGTGTCTGCATGTGGGGGTGCAGCGGCCCCTCGTCTCTGTGCGGCTCGCTCTCCTAGTGGCGGGGGGGGGGGGGGTCTGCACGTGCACTCACTTTGTGTTCTCATCAATTAACAGGTCATAAAAGCTATACAACACTTGGCAAATAAGAGAAATACAAAGAACAAAACAGTCATGCCCAGAGAGAGTCATTGTGATTTTACACATTTCATTTTTATTTAAAAAGCCCAAAGTTAAAATAACATTGCCAAAGCACTATAGATTAAATCATTTTAATTGTTAAAAGATTCGCTTAAATTTTATTATGTTTCTAACTTTTCTTGACCTGTGCCCCTTAGCAATAAACAATGAGCAATAACCAAATGCTGTTTCTGTAATTAATATTAGGAAAGCATTTTTTCCCATTTTTAAAATAAAAATGACATAATATTGAATAATTTCATCTCAACTCTAGCTGGGGCAAAGCATGATCCCCAAACAAAGAGAACTAAGAGGAGCTCTTTTTTTTTTTTTTTTTTAAAGATTTTATTTATTTATTCATGAGAGCGAGAGAGAGAGGCAGAGGGAGAAGCAGGCTCCCAAGGAGCAGGGAGCCCGATGCGGGATTCGATCCCAGGACGCTGGGATCATGACCTGAGCCGAAGGCAGACGTTCAACCATCTGAGCCACCCAGGCGCCCTAAGAGGAGCTCTTTATCTGTCCTCTTCATATACTGTTCCAGTCATGCTTTATTCATTCCCTTAGCAAACACGCATGGAGGGCTCTCTGAATCTCAGGTACTCGTCTAGGCACTGTGGCTTCAGCAGTGAACAAAACAAAGTTCCTGTGGCATCATGTGACGTTCTAAATAAGATTCCTTGAGCAGAGCAGCCCTGGTGCGGCACCACCAGCATTAGGCTAAGCTTCCAGTGGCAGGGAAGAGGGCAGAGGAGCCAAATCCTGGGGAAAAAAAAAAAGATGCCGGGTGAAAGAGAGTCTGCATGAGGGATCCAGGAAGTGTGATGATGGAGTGGGGGTTTCATTTGGCAGTTTAGAGTGAGGCCTTCATCCTTCCACGTGACTTACTAATGCCTCCCCCAGCCTCCTGAGGTGGTGGTGTGGTCCCAGCCATCCATACGGTGGCTCACCAGAGACACAGTTAGTGGAGTAACAGGTATGGGAACCAGATCTAGAAGATTTGACATAGGCTCAGTTCTTAAGCAAGAAGCTGTTGTACTGCCTACAGCATTGGGGAGACAGTGTTACCAAGGCCAAGTGCCAGTTTGCTTATTTTACTTTGGAAAAGTTGGCCCAAGAGTTTCAACAGTGGAAGGCTCCAATTAAGGGAGCTACATAGGAGTCCACTGCAGATCCTTTTTTTTTTTTTTAAATATGTATTTATTTATTTGAGTGAGAGAGAGAGAGAGAGCAGGGGAGTGGGGCAGAGGGAGAGAGAGAGAGTATGCGTGTGTGGGGGGACAGGGACAAAAGGAGAGAGAGCTTGGGATGGAGGACTGGCAGAGGGGAGAATCTCAAGCAGACTCTGCACTGAGCGCGGAGCCCAACTCAGGGCTTGATCCCACAACCCTGAGATCATGATCTGAGCTGAAACTGAGAGTCCGATGCTCAACTGACTGACCCACCCAGGCGCCCCCTGGAAATGGAAGCCAGATAAAACTTGGGGAGCTGCAGGCAATCCTCTTTTCACGATCTGGCCTGTTTCCTCATCTGTAAAGCAGGGGCTGGAAGAGTTGTCTCTAAGAAGACCTTCCAGTTGCAACTGTGAGATAAATTCTTGATTTATAGGGCATAAAGCTGGCAGGCACGGTGAGAGGCTTGTTGTGGGGGTGGGAGTGGCGTGGTCTCAGAGCTTCCTTACCACTCTGCTGTTCGTTCAGCTAGGCTCATCCTAGCTCCTCCCCATGCAGGGCCATGCAAGGATGGTGGGGTGCTGTGGTTCTCTCCAGCAGGTGGGGTGAGGGTGGGCACAGTGCTTCTAGCCCGTCCCTTCTTTGTTTTGTGTACCTGCTTCTTGGAGAGGATGTTGTCTGTTCTTGTGTTTGAGCACAGGGTTCATCTGCTTTGTTTATTTCCCCAAAATGGGAATAGCTTTATTGTTTTTTTTATAAAAAGTGAAAGTGGGGGGGGGATGAGGTAACTGGGTGATGGGCATTAAGGAAGGCACGTGGTGTAATGAGCCCTGGGTGTTATATGCAACTGATGAATCACTGAACTCTGCCTCTGAAACTAATACACTATATGTTAATTGAGTTTAAATTAAAAAAAAATTTTTTTAAATAGGAAAAAAGTAGAAGTGTTCGATATAAAGAGTAAACTATATAAAGAATTAAATATATGTCTCCATATGTATATACAGAATAGGATAAGTTACTTAAACCCTGTTACCCAGTGGTAATCACTTAACATTTTGGTGTATAACCTAGAATCTTTTATCTTTGTGTAGTTGACTCGTTGGCTGTCAGTATCTATACGATTTTACGTAAATGAAATCATACTGCTCATCTGTTACCTTTTTTTTTTGGCTCAATAAATATGTCATGAACATCTAAACATAGTAGAGACTCTTCAGTCTTTGTGGCTGTATTTTCTTTTGTGGGTAGTCTTGACATAATTTATTTAAACAGTCCTCTTTAGTGGAAATTTTGGTGGCATCCAGTATTTGACCCTCTTTTTTTTTTTTTTTTTTCAAGATTTATCTTATGTTAATCCCCATACATTACATAATTGGGTTTTGCTTCAGGGTATTATTCACTACA